TATGTTTATAAGCTTTTTAAAATTTCTATTTAAAAATATAATAAGAAGTAGAATAAGACAAATAAGTTACCAATCATATGAAATTAGTATTAATAAATTAATTAATACTACAGAGGTGGCACAGAACACCACAAAAGTGGCTTGTAGGTACATTTCCAGACATTTAATGAGGCTCAGAGGTGGCATGAGTGCAATTAAATTCATAAATTCATGTGGAGATTAATGTTTTAAATATACAATTTTGAATACAGAAATATTAAATGATTTAAATAACCGAAATTAAATGCTAAAAATGAAACTAAATCCACCAGCAGGTGGCGGCAAGTCACTGATTTTTATCACCGATTCGTTCGAACGGCTGAATCATTCAGGAATGAAGCAAGTGACTGTCTTTATGAACTGACGGAAATCCGTCGTAGCATGGAACACTTTAATCCCTGCTCCTTTAATGTTGAATGAGTCTAATACGCTCTGGACTGCAATAGCAGTACCGTATCTTCACACAAAAATACATTCAAAGTGACTATTACTCACAGTCCAGCGGCCTGCACACAGGTTCTGCACAGCCCCCGCCACGGCTTCGAGAACCGAGGGGTTCTTGCTCTCTTTCAGGAGAGAAGTGTAGACACGCACCACCTCTGGCTGGAACAGCAACTCATAACCTACAAAACACAATCATTACATTTTATTTAATCTATTATTCAACTACAACACGAGGCAAAACTAAACTACTAGTGTAAGCATTCAGAGCGAAACAAGACTGTCATTGTACCTTTGGCTGGTGTGCTTCTCTTTGGAATGTCAATGGTATCTGAAGTTCCATCATCCTCTTTTTTTCCTGAACAAAGCGGACGGCATGAGCAACAAGTGAAAGAGTGACACACGAAGTGGCACAGAAATCTTATCTGCTGTTTAATGGTAGTGATGTAATTTGTGACAAGTCTGAAGAAAACCTTTGAAGATTTAAGAAGGGGATTTTCTTTAGACAAAGACTTCTTCAGACACAGTTATGACAGAGGCTACATTTACTCCTTGAGGAAAACCCCATGTGTTTTAATGACTGGTGACTTAAAGCCCCAATATACTTCAAGCGAAATCAAAGAATAAACTGATGTGATGTAATTTCAAATAAAATCAGTCCAAAGTCCATTTGGAGTTTGAAACAGCTTGCTAAAGCAAACTTTCCATTATAAAGTTCACTAACAACGACTAGTGAACACCTATGAACTACCATTTGACTTTACAGAGGTGACAATTTTTAAAAAATATTTTAAGTTTCAAAAGAATCAGACAATTATCTTTTTAATATGTCTATATGATTAAAGATTAACAGTGAAGGTTTATAAAGAATGGAGTTATCAGAAATGCTGTGTTCTGGCACCCTCTGGTGGTTACTAGTGAAATGTTATAAATATAGAAAGCATTTTTACAGACCAGTCACACAAAAATCATATCTAAAAGATTTTGAGGACATTTTCCAGTTTTCTAAGAACAGATTTGTAAATTTTTGCTAAAATATCTTTGTCCATGATAGTCTGGATGCTTACTAGGCTTTAAAACAGAGCTCTAGAGTTTAGTGTCCAGCGACATAATCTGATACTTGCTAATGATTCCACGTCTACTTCCTTCAGATCAATAAAAACCTTATTTGTGTGACTGGTCCCCTTAAAATGCCTTCTTACTTTACCAAAGTAGTGCAGCTCATAAAACGAATGTGAAATGGGATGAAAAACACATTATTTTCCCCCTAAAACATTACTTGAGTTTCCCACTTCAGATCCATTTTCTGAACTTTGACCTATAACAGTGTTAATAATGGGTTACAGTGAGATGAAAAATTGTGATTCCCATGAAAGCAAAGCAAAGCCTTTTTACTTAAAAAAAAAAATAAATAAAAAAATAAAAATAAAAAAAAGGAAAGCAAAGAAAAGCAAAAAAATAAAAAGAGAGAAAAGCTTACCTTTGGAAAACCACTCTTCTGTTACAGGATAAAAAGACGTACGGATTGAAAGCAGAAGAGACAGATACAGAAGAAAATGAGAGGAAAGGACTGTTTTGGCATTTAATAAAACTGCAATAGTGCCCCAGCCACCCTACAATTATTCAGCAACAAACCCACAAAGTACACACTCGTGTGAAATTAATGCATGTCGCATCTCCTTCTTGTGTAAACAAACTTGATCTGACACATATCAAACTTACAAGCTTAACACACTTCAAAGTGTGTACTATGATTAAGACAAGGAATACACACGGCCTCTTGGTTTGGTTTACACAACACCGAGATTATGCACTGGAATGCAAAGATAGCAAGTTAACTTATTTTAATTGGTTACGGCCCACAGCCAGTGCCTGTGTTTTTCTTTAAATGAATCAGACACGCACCTTTGCCCTTTCGGGAGCTGAAGCAGCCGCCCTTTTGGGAAGGGGCGGGGCCTTGATTGACAGGAGTCGTCTCCTGATAGCGCTGGCAGCCTGGTATCTCCCGATGCACCTGATAGGACAGATTCCTCAGCAGACACACGCTGTTCTCAATCAGCTGCACACAGACATAATAAACATGATTAAATAATAGATACCGTGTAAAAGAATGAAACAGGACAGCTACCAATGTCAAATGTAGTTTTTATATAGAAAATCATTGATGAAAGAATGGAGACTGATCCTATTAACTAAAGAGTAATATATGAAGAGTTCATTTGCAAAAACAAAGTTTTTAACAATTTTCAAAAATCATTTTTCATTGTGCATTCCAATTAATCTCAATCAAACTGCAGTTGGGTTATTTTGATTAAGTAAAAATAACAAAAAAAAAACAAAAAAAAACAGCTAACAAAAACATAACATAATAAAAAAAAATTTTTGAACGTTATCTCAAACTCTTAATATATATATATATATATATATAAATAAAAGTCGAACAGCCCAAAAAATACCTACTAGCTCTAAATAACCCCGACCCTAATTATAACACTGCATCAATATGCAAGAATAAAAATGACAAACAATGCTTTTTCTTCCCCCTTTGCCCTTCCCTAAAACGCTCTACTCCTGTGCTTCCCCATCATAAAAAGAGCAGTGTGCATGAAAGTGCAGCTTTCAAAGCCCGAAAGGTCAAAGTCCAGTTGTTACCTTGTTGTCCACATCTTTACAGTTGATCTGTGACTGGACGATGTACATGAGCGAGTCGACCAGTCCAGAGCACTCCCTCAGCTTCCTCCTGGCCTCGCTCCGCTCCGAGCTCACATTCCTGAGAGCAAAACGTCATGCAACTAATTAGGACACAGCCTGTTTAATGTTTAGTAACGTTTGGCACGCACAGAAAGTTTTAGCTCCAGGTCATCACCTAAAACATATTAAACAAGTGTATACACAGATGGCATCTGAAAAGCTGAATGGTGAGGGTTAAAAAGACTAAACACCGTTAGCTCTACTTAAATGTAATCACGGTGTAAAACCATTCCTCTGACTGAACCGACTGCTTTCTAAAAACCTAACAGGCAAGTGGGAGAAGTGAGGGACACTCTCAAAGAGAAGCACTCAAGGGAAATAAGTGGATTCAAAGATCACATTTCTCTCTTTTGTCCAAGATTTGTCCTGATTCTTTCACAGCCTCAGAGGTTCTTGCTCGCAAACACAATTCAAGAGCATTTCCGTTGCACTTCCCTCCTTTCTTCCACATAAAATGCAGTTTCCTCACACATACACACAAACTTGACAGGAATTCTTTAGCAGCACTGAGGCACACCCCTCCTCCCTTTAACGTCTTTCATTAATCTGAATCATAAAACTGTCCCTCCTCAATACATCCTAATCCTTTCCTCCACCCCTCTCTCTGGCTTAACTACTTTTGATTCTCAAGCTGAAAAATTTATCATTTGAATTCGCTCTCAGCCACTTTGGATAAAAGCGTCTGCCAAATGCATTAATGTAACGCACCTTAAGCAGCCGGTGGTGTTGGTGAGTGCCGCCTCCCACTCCAAGTGTCTGGGTTTGCAGCTCTCCTCTCCCCCTTCGTTCCCCCTCTCCCAGCCCGAGTGAGGAACCATCACCTCGTCGGACAGGGCATGCAGTGCGTGGTCCACTATCTCCATCTTTACAGAGTCGTGAGACGACAGGTTCCACAGCGTGCCTGAGAGAGAACGAGCCATCAGTTACTACAAGATGCAAGCGACAAACTGTCTTGTCTGACCACTTGTGCTTGAATCACCTGAAACGGGATGTTAACATCAAAATGGAAATTGACAGAACATTATTTTTGTTTTTGACAGAAGTCTCTCATGCTTACCAAAGCTGAATTTATTTGATCAAAACTACAGTGAAAAAGCAATATTGTGAAATATTATAGCTTTTAAATATTTAATATTTTAAAACAATTTATTCCTGTAACTTATTCCAGCCATTACTCCAGTCTTTAGTGTCACATGATCGTTCAGAAATCACTCTAATATGCTGATTTGGTGCTCAAGAAACAGTTCTTATTAGTGTTGTAAACAGCTGTACTGCTTTATATTTTTGTCAAAACAATAATTATTTTTTTTACCAGGATTGTATGATAAACAAAGTTCTGAAACAAAATTCTTCCATAACCTTATAGGTAAATGTGTTTACTGTCACTTTTTGATCAATGTAATGCATCTTGCTTAAAAAAAAAATTGCTTACTGTAAATGATCAATCCATGCATGTTTAGTTTTTTTCTTTTGAACTCGTAATTTTTAACTCAAAAGGTTGGTGAAACAACAGATTTGTATCAGATGACGTTCTTACAATTTACTGCATTCAGACCTGCCTCCAGTCAATCAACAACCAATGGATAAGTCACCACCCTACATTTTTCCTTTTTTGATAATCTGCTTCACTCAGATGTACATCTCAATATAGATTTGTTGCTAACACCGTGTCTACACCAGACACGACAGTTGTCGTGTCATGCCGAAACAGCTAAAGTCTGTCAACACTGGACGTGACAAAGCGACCATTGAAAAATATTTGCTGCTAATGAGACAGCAGTTTACTGACTGGGATTTGTTGCGCCACATCCAGTGTAGACAGCATCACTGATTATAAGGAGTTCTATAGTATTTTGCCGCGCCGCACCACGGCACTCGCGTCCAGTGTAGACATGGCGGAAGTCTGTTTCATTGTGACTTTAATAGCACAAAACCAGTGTGTACCAGTTATGGTGTCAGTAAGGTCCTGATCTCTCGTCTTCCTCAGTAGCCGCACCAGCGCGGGAATTCCGTCACAGTTCTTGATGGCTATCTTGTTATCTGGATCTCGTCCGTATGAGATGTTCTTGAGTGCTCCGCATGCTGCGTAATGCACCTCCTTCTTTGGGTTATCCAGCATGGACACGAGGGCAGGGATCCCCTTCAGTCGTCTTACTTCTGACTTCACCTGCAAAGACAGAGGAAAGACTGAGGGCATGGAATTTGCATAGACACCATGTCATTTGTTGACTTCTCAAAAGCCAGTACGAAGTAATGAAATCACAGGCAATCAGAATAAAAGTTTGGCTTGAGTAAGTTTTTAAATTAATACTATTATTCAGCAAGGATGCACAACAAAAGAGATAGTAAAGACATTTATAATGTTACAAAAATACTTTTATTTAAATAACTTTGTTCATTACAGTTTGTTAAAAATATTAAGCAGCCACAACCATTTTCAACATTTGTTCAAGAAACTTTTTACCATCATCAAATCAGCATATTAGAATGATTTCTGAAGGATCATGTGACACTAAAAACTGAAGTAATGACTGATGAAAATCCAACTTGACTTTATAGGAGTAAATTACATTTTAAAATATTTTAAAAGGGGTCATATGATGCTTTTTTAAATATCATTATTTTGTGTATTTGGTGTAACAGAATATGTTGACATGCTTTAATGTTCAAAAAACACATTATTTTTCAAATACTGTACATTATTGTAGGTCCTCTATGCCCCGCCTCTCTCAAACGCTTCGTTTTCTACAAAGTCCCTCCTTCCGACAAGCGCAGTCTGCTCTGATTGGCCAGCTGACCCAGTGCATTGTGATTGGCCGAACACCGCAAGCACTTGTCGGAAATGTAACGCCCCTTACCAATATTCGCGAGCTTCATCTTTCAAAATAAATGTAAAGACAGAGCCGAAAGGGGAACAGAGTCGCGTGACAGACACAGTGATGAAGCTGGTATGTGTTTGCAGCTGACTCCACTGTGATGTGTCTCACTCTCTCTCTCTCGCGCACACACACACACACACACACTCTATGTCCTCTCTACACACACACACACACTCTCTCTCTCTCACTCTCACACACACGATGCGCAAAACTCCGTATTTGAACAGTCAATTGCAAATACTTAAACTAATAACAAAACTGTAGCTGATTCAGAAGCGCCAGATTGTCATAGTAAAGTCAGAATTACCTCCTCTCCTAGGTTCATGAAACGGTCGTCCATAAAATGCATTGCTGTTCTGTTGTAAGTAATCTTAAAGATTCCTAAATGCATCTACTTTCGGAAGGCCAAATAAAGTGCTTTTGCTTTCGCCTAGAAACACACAGCGTCTCCCTGACATGGCTGCTTCAACACTAACTGCGGTTACTGAAACCACGCCTTCTTTCTTTGCGTGCACATTTGGGTGCACATTTGGGCGCATTATGCTATGTGTGCTGGGATACCCAGCATATTGTGTACGTTAATACTAACCTTATCGTTCTTAAAAGTGAGATGTTGCAAGTATGCTGCAGCGTTGCTTTTGACAGGGTCCAGACGGTAGTTGAGCATAGCGATGACTTCAGGAAGCTCCGGCTGCCTCCATGCTGTGGGGGCGGGGCCTTTACGAAGAGTGCTGTCCAATGATGCCATGCTGCCTCTCTCTCCCTGAGCCAGCGGAGCTCCTCCTCCCCAATAATACATATCGCCAGCTCCACTCATATCACCATCCAGTGTGCCCTCATATGACCTACACAAAACAAACAGAAGTTCAAACGGACTGATTTTTTTTACCCCCTTCTTCTGTGAAACGCAAAAGATATTTTGAAAAAAAGACAAAAAAAAAAAAGACAGACATACAGGTTTGGAACAACATGAGAGTGAGTAAATGCAAGTTTTAGGTGGATTATTCCTTTAATACCTTTCCCAATCAAAATGAATACACTTACCCTGTCCGGCGTGGAGGTGGGGCAAGGTGTGCATGTGCCAACCGGGGCATTGTGCTGTAATGCATGGCTGGTACCATGCCATAATCGGGATCGTCGTATCCCAGGCTTCTCTGATCATCCTCCAGGCCGTATGGCTCTGGTACAAATCGCTGCATGCCAGAGATCTCCATAGCACTGCCCATACGTCCTATCTGGGGCTGGGCTGCGTACGGGTCCAACTGCGGCCGGCTGTGGGTGCAATAGGCGGAGTCCAGCGTGCGATAGCCATCCACAGGCCTAAAGAGAAAGCAACAGGGGAATTAATTCGTACATCTACAATGCTCGATCTCATACAATGCAAACGCAACAGGCACAGACCTGTAGCGGTCATCCATTCGTGTCCCTCGGTTGAGACTGGCGTAGGCTTCAGAAGGAGGGTAGCTGCGGAAATCATCATAGCCTGGTGGTCCATAGTGGTAGTTACGGGGGACAGTAGCGGTGGGGTAGTCCATGGGGCCACCCGGTGGCCTGTACACGCGGTCCATTGGGGTATTACAACCGGGTATCCCAGTGACTGAACCAGTGCCATCAAGGGAAAGTGTGTCGGAGACTGAGGGAATGACTGTTCGTGTGGTAGTCGTCTTTGTGACTTTCTTTACCTGATATGAGGAAGCGCCATCATTATCTTTCCAAAGACAAGTGGTCATACTTGACAAAATGTTGTCAGTTCAATTAGATTGCAAACTTACTGTGGTCTCAGTGCGACGTGTGGTGCCATCATCAATGGTTTCAACTGAAATAATTGGCATCGACTCATGGGGGTCCTCCTCCACTGTGACCGACTCAACAAAATGACCAGGGTCCAACATCCTGTACTGTAGCACAGACGCGTAAACAAAGAACAATAGTGAGCATAAGCCAAGAACAGGAAGTGTGTACACTCACACAAACACACCATCTGGAGCATTCGCAGGTGGACGTTAATGACAACACAACAACAAGTTAGTGCAGAAACAGAAGAATTAAGTGTGAAAATATGTGCAGGAGTATCTTTCATGTACACTGACACACAGGGTTCAACAATAGAGAGCAGAGCTGTGTCAATACGCCTCGTTTTTCAAAGCATAAAACAGATGAACAATGAATAAGTAAGCATTTGAATTTATACAATGTACATTATACCTTTTTCCTGAATAAAATGTTTAAGTGTGTGTTTTTCCTGATACATAAAAATAACTGCATCATATTATTTAGGCCTATATTTTATAATAATAATACAACAATCTTAATTCTATTTAATTTCTGTGAAATTATTATTAGTCGTAGTAGTATTCATAATCATATTATTAATCTAGTTGCACAATTGGAACATCTCCATCTAAAGAAAATTATACATTGCGGACACCATACTAACCTGAGTCCCGTTTATGTATCCCTCGCTTAATTTGAGCCGTTCTAACTCTGCATCACCAGTGACACGGCCGTTCTAAAGAGACAGAGAGAGAAAAATTACAACAGCCCAAAACAACAACAAAAAGAAATAAGAAGCCGTCAATGTGGCCACTGATCATGTCGGTGAATAATGCTAAACATTCAGAGAGACCACAAATTGTAGCAGGACCATGAGTAAATACCGTAACAAACAAACATTATCTTATGAATGTTCATGCAAAGGATGCATAGGGATAAACAACACTTAAAACAAATTACTTAAGTTAATGAGACCATTGCATAAGAGAAACATGACAATGTTGCGGAAATGGATGATGGATGAATAAATGAATGCCAGGAATGAGAAGGGGGTTGACCGCTACTAGATAATATTACTCATGCTTTTACACGACAATGTCATGCAGCACCATTCACACTTAAAGCACAAATTCTCTACACGCAAACCAGGGGAAGTGGGCTGCTGTACTATTCCCAGTCCACAGAGGGAGCCGTGAAAGTAGACGGTAATCTTAGCTGACGGGCGGGCTTGTGGGAACCTGTCAGCAGGTAGGAACTGAGCCTGCTCAGCATGTTAATATCTACACAACTATGTCAACAGAGAGCAGATACGTATAATGGCGGCATTCCAAGCACTGCTGACCAGCTTATCTTTACATACATCTCTGTCTCTGCGTGTTAAAGTGTGCTAGAGAAAGAATGGAAGAGATTATAAAAAAAAAGAATAGATTTCCCAAAAATACAAAATAAACCTCTCTATTATTTACTCACCAATTTAAACCATATGGTACCTTTATGTGATGATCATACCTAGAGTTCAATCTTTCTGTAGTTCTCAGTATCATTCACATTTGTGGTGAATTCAAATGTGGAGCATCAAAACGTGTTGCACATAGTTTGACGTCAACGATGTCAAATGGTGGTTCTCCTGCTCCATATTTACAAGGTAAACAGACGGAAAGCTTTTCAATTAAATCAATCAAATTAAAACAATTAAAGTGATGGCTAGAATGTTTGGACTGCATTTATGGTGCTTTATATTAATTTCTATTAAGTCTTTATTAGCAAATATAATCAAGTCCCTATTTATTTATTATTAATTTAATTAACACAAAGTGCAACCTAGACATCCTGCAAAAGATCATGTTCCATGTAAGAAAATAAGCCATAAGGGTTTGAAACTAGTGTTATTAAAGGGATAGTCCACCTAAATATGAAAATAGTCATTTACTCTCACTCGTGTCGATCTAAACCTGTATGAGTTTCTTTCTTATGTTGAACATACAAAGATATTTTGAAGAATGCTGGTAATAGAACAGTTGATGGTCTCCAATGACTTCCATAGTATTTCTTTCACTACTATGGAAGTCAATGGGGACCAACAACTGTTTGGTTCTTCAAAATATCTTCTGTGTTCAACATAAAAAAAATTCATTTTCGGGTCAACTATTCCTTTATCTAAAACTTTTAAAACTATCGTTTTCAGTGATTCAAATAAAGCAGAAATAAATAAAAAATATACACGAGATGAAATCTTAAACTTAAAACTGAAAATTAGAAATGCTGGCACTTAACTGAAATAAGTTGAAGTACTAAATTAACTAAAACTGACAATTGACTGAAGTTATATAGAAATACTTAAATTAAATGACAAGCACATAAATTGCTAAAACAAACTAAAATTAAGATGAAAAAAAAAAGCTAATTCAAAACATTAAAAAATACTACATTAGTATATAAATAATACTAAAATAAGTTATTTTACACCATGAGAGCGTATAAATGACAGAATATACATTTAGGTGAAGTAGTACTTCCAATTTTGAGATGTTATGTTTGTCTTATGTATCTGAGTGCCAAGAGAAACAAAAGTTGTTTATGCACCTCTCTAGCTATGAATAAAACCTTCAAATCTTTTGAAATCAGACACACACACAGTCGACGCCCTCGAAGGAGGGGCCGTTTCTAAGTAGAATCATGCAACCAATCAAAGAAGTCCTCTAGTCTGAAGTAAACTGAGAAAGCTGAGATTTAGACGATACTTAACATGTTCGCATTGAGCAATTTCCACCATAAGATAGAGCTTTCTGAAATCCTCTACACACAAGGGAGACTCATCTTACTAAACCGGTTTGTTATCTCTCTGCTCACAGACATCAGCGGAAGGGGGTTTTGGTGTTGAGAAAGTTTCAGTGATAACGGAGACATTCACCATGAGGACAGTGAGTAAACGGGGGAAAATTCCTCTTCGTTGAAGAATACTCATACCGCTAAGTCAAACAGACAGGTTAATGACACATGTACAGACATGCGTTTGTGTGACATTCACAAAAAAAACAAAAAGAGTGGTTATATAGTAGCAAACAAATTGGGGACATGAGGAAACATGCAAGGGAAGTGTGACTTAAAAACTAAGTATTCTGTGATGCCACTCGCCATAAACCGCAGAATGATGCAGACGGCTGCACAAAGGGTGGGTGGTGAATGATGACAAGAGGAAAGGATGCAAAAAGTGGGTTCTGGTGACATTGAACACAACGGTGAAGGATGGGTTAATCGCTATGCTCCTTGAGGTGCCTACATTGGTGCAGAGTGATGCGGCATGGGTGATGATGCGGGGAACCCTGCTGCTGCATGATTGGCTGGGAGGGCGTTACCTGCAGAGTGGGGAGGGGGCGGGGTAGGGTACCGGAGGGCCCCACGCTCCTCCTCTCCTCCTCCAGAGCTCGAGTCAGACGCTCGAACTGCATCTCCTGCTCTCGCACGGAGGCCAGGAGAGATGCGGCATTCTCACACTGCTCCATACACACTGAGAGAAAGAGGACAGGGGTTACACACTCGCACACATCATGAGACACGTGCCCTGAAACACACACACACACACACACACAAACATGCGCTCCACGCAGACACAAATACATCACTTAAGGTCGGCGAGCGCCATGTGACCCATGCGGCAAGCTAAATCGAGAAACGGTAACTCGGAGAGACGGAAAAGAAATGTGAGAGATAGAGAGAACATGACAGACAGAAAATAAGAATCGTGAAGAGACAGGTGCTAACAAAGCGCTTCAGACGCAGGAGTGATCACGCTGCCACCGCTGAGTGACAACACACAGAGGAAACCAGACCGGTTTCCAGCTCGCAGATAGGAGTGATTCAGATGCTGTGTGAGAAGAGATCGTGTCGAGGCAGGAACGACGAGTGCAGACACAACAAGGAATGAGCCAAGGTCTGTTCGAATCAAAAGCGGCTCCACGAAACCATACCGCAGCTAAAGAAACTGTCCGTTCTGCTGTGCTGGCCTTTCTGGAGGCCATTTCACTGTCTGACAACTGGAAACAAACTCAGTGTTTTAATGCTTAGGCCTTTTCTAAATAGCACTGCAGCAGTAGCATGGTACTGTCAGCAATGGGATCATACATTTATAAAGGATTTCAATGTTTATGACCATGATGAATAGTAATATCATTCATAGCACTCTAAGATAAACCAAAGTACTGAGTACATATTTTTTAAATGAAAAATCTTCAAATATATAAATATAGATAAAATTAAATAAAACTAACTAAAAAGCAAAACAAATCATGGTATTGTTGTCATTAAGACCCATTTGTAAATATATGGTCACTGCAACTATACCATGTTTTAAAAATATATTATGGTCAAAAAAAAAAA